GCTGATAGAGACGTCATGAGCCTGATTGCGTAGCCAACGCACTACCGCGGAGCGGGCAGGGTACCTGCGCTAGCTCGACCTGTAACATTTACTACCAACAAAAGAAATAAAGGAAACATACGCGAGAAATAAAGTGTACGCACCAGACGATGCATAGGTAATCCCTACTGCGTTTATTTGAGCTTAATGTCAAACAAACAGTAAACTCGATCGACGTGCGAGTGACGAGAGGAGAGTCCGCCACCAACGAAGCCACGATCGGCTAGCACCGAACACATTCCCCCGCACCACGGTCGAGCCCACCGCTCACAACTTCGAAAATGACAAGAGTGAACAACGAGTGGGGAAAACTGGCCCTCTATCCCGAAAACAAGGTCAGCCTGTTCATGCGGGAAAGGTCCACTTCGAAGAAAAGGTCAGGGGCACCCTCTTGTGAGTCAGCAAGAAGCGCCTAGCTGGCCTTTGCGTGTGGGCGAAATCGAGGGAATCGCAGGCAAGTTTCGCGGGTCCGTGCACGGTCTCTTTTTTTTTGCTGCCTGAACTCGTGATGCGTGCGAACATCCCGAGGAAAAATCTTCAGAGTGCCAAAATAGCACATTTTTGGCTTTTGATCGTGGAATAAAGTGTATTTTGGATTGTAAAACAGGGTTGCCAAACGCAACTCCAGAAAGATCACGCGCGATCGCCAAGAAACCGCCAACCGCCTCTCGCCAACCGCCAACTGCCTCTGGGTGTGTCTGAACGGGGTCGCACGCGAACCGCATCGGCAACCGCTTCGCAAACGCGGATCCGCTTCCAGTGTGAATGCGCCATAACACCGGCTAGGCTGGGGTAGGCAGGGGACCCCCCCCCCCCCCCAGGCAGCGCCATAACTGCCGCTGCGGTAAAATCTAAAACAAAAACGCGCTCCTTCTTTCGTTTTTTTTTTTTTTTTTTTTTTTTCGGTTGAAAGGTAGGCATTTTGTGTTCTGAGCTCTCGGCGATTAACGCGCCCCCCGCGCTGAGCTCGCCTGGGCGTGGACTCTGATCTCAGAGGTAATGCAAACATCCAAACGCAGATCTGATTCGCGGAGAGGCCGCAGGAAGCCGCGTGGCGCCAGCTAAGGGGACACCCTAAAGTAACTGTTTATGATCCGCTTGCGGGGCGGAGTACCGCAATGGTGCTTCCAGGGCGGCCATGCTGAATCCAAGGCCGCACTGCGGGAAGTAAACGTCGCTTTCGCATGAGCCCCGAATGTGGAGCTACGAGATCGTCCTCCGTGTCGTTTTCTTCGCAGACTTTGAAAACATGTTTTTAAACATCGCTCGCGTTATAAAACAACGCGATTATACAGTATCCAGTGGTGATACATACTGTTGAATGGTCAATTGGCCATCTAGTTCGTTCTATTTTAGTGTAGGATGTATATTTCACAAACGCAAAGCGAGAAACCCGCCCAAAACGTGGCGCCTGCAAGGTCGCTCTCCCGCACGAAGGTTCGATCCAGCTCGGTGCACGTGACCTCTTCTCCGCCAATACGGAGTCGGCGGCGAAAGGAAAAGGAACGCGATACTCTGTAAAAGCTTGGTCTGCTGGGCAAGTTGGTACTGGACATTCATATTAAAAATAGGGCTAAACAGACGGGACAAAAAGACGAAGAAGCACACAGGACAATCGCTAACTGGCAACTAAAATTTCTTGAATGCTTCCAACTTTGCTATCACCGTGCACGCGCTTAGTCTCGTCTCAACAAAAACACGGCGTACCGCCAAATCAGCAGATACAGCCCGCCCACGCTGGACTGTGCGCAGGTGGAGGGACGCAACAAAGAAAGGCTGGGACGAGAGTTGCTGGAGGCGGCAAAAATACATGCTTGTGACAAAGACGTTTGCATAAGCGCCGCATCGGTGTATATGCAGCCGAAAGAGTACAGTTTCCTTCAGTGTTTATCAAGATTTTTGTTCATGCCCTCGCTATCATAGTCCCATGTAGGGACTGATAGTATTTTGAAATAAGTAAATAAATAAATAACACTATCTAACTTGTAAATATTAACGCGGCGCGTTTTCCTTTCCTCGTTCGGATTGTGCGGTGGGCTGATGTAGCTGTTTTGCTGGCTTTCTGAACAGGCGGTGGGCGGGCTGTATCTGCTGATTTGGAGGTACGCCGTGTTTTTCGTTGAGACGAGATTAAGCGCGTGCACGGCGATAGCAAAGTTGGAAGCATTCAATAAATTTTAGTTGCCAGTTAGCGCTTGTCCTGTGTGCTTCTTCGTCTTTTAGAGCGCAGCTCTTAGGCGCCCGTTTCCGGCTTAAGCGGCGTCGCCGTCGCCGTCGCCCTTGGCGTCAGCGTAACCGCGCGGTGCATTATGGGAAATGTCCCATAATGCACCTCGCGAGCCCCCCCGGGGTCAAGTGATGGTTGGTTCACGTGACCCCCCCGAGGTTACGTGACCGCCCAGGTCACGTGACTCCCCCAAGGTCACGTGCCCCCCCTAGCTCACGTGCCCCCCTCCCCCCAGGTTACGTGACCCCCCCCCCCCCCCCCCCTCCGGAGGAGATTCAAGAATGAGGGGAGGAGGAAGATAAGGAGGGAGGAAGGGTATATACCTTCCCCTCAGTACCCTTCCATCCTCCTCCTCAAGAGCTGCGCTCTAATTCGGCGTTACAGGGAGTTGTATTTGTCCAGTCTTTTTTGCGCTGTTTTTAATATGAATGGCTATACTCTGGCTGTGCAAGCAGAGCCTATACAGCTACTCAAGGACACCGCACAAGTGGCTTTGGGCTAACATATCGGTAGCCGTTCGGCGCCGCTCCTTGCCTTTTTCCGGCGGCCGGGAGTTCCATGGCTCCGTTGGGGAATCGACACGCTTCGAAGAATAAATGAGTCTATGGCACGAGGCACCGTCTTCGTGCAGTGGCGCATTTGACGCTACCTGGAAACACAAACACGTCAAGGGGTTTTGGACATAGAGTTATCACAATAAACGCTAGAGGTTCCGGTGGCGCTAGTTTGCTGTTGCATTTTGAAGCAGACAGAAACCAGTCTAAATTTGACTTCCGGTAATGCATTCCTATGTGAAAACGCGAAAAAGCGTTTTCTCTTCGCGCTCGATTATAAGAGCAAAGATTACTTAGTGTTTGTGACAAAATAAAAAAAAAAGTTTGGGACGTTTTACAATCGGATATACAAAAATACGTGTCAAGGCGTTTTTCTTTAAAATTCATGGCGTCGAACACTCCGCTAAAATAGCCCAGTACAGAGGTATAATACGTGTGGACGTTGGAGACTACTATTATAGGACACGTATTTACGCAAATAGTCAATGCTATGAAGCACACAGAGTGAATAAGCTTGACAGAACATCAGAAGAGTGCTAATATATGCCAAATCAAACAATAAAAACAGACGACAAGAACATAGCATGGAGTTGTGGAACGAAGAACACGTACTGGATAAGTAACAAACTGTGCATTAGTAACAAACTGCGTTTCCGTCATCTGAATGTTATTACAGCTTGAATAAACCCTACACACTTCTTAATTGTTCGTTTTGTTTGAATTGATAGCTTGTATTGACATATCATGCTGTATAACATAGACCTGTACAACATAAACCTGGGCCTCCATTTTTGCTGAACATCGCTCAGTAAAGAAAACAACAACCATTAACTAAATAAATCACACTTTCATAATCTGAATAAAGCTTGTGGGAACCACGGGTTCCCCGCATCCCTATCTAGGCCTAGCTCAGGCAGGCCGCGGGACGTCGCCATGTGGGGGCGCGTCCCGAATGCGAGGTCGAAACCGTATTCCCTTGTGGACGGCTTTCCCTCGCCCTTCTCGGGTGATTTGCCGAAGGCACACCCCCCGGGATCATGACTTGGACGCGTCCACCCCTCCGGTAAGCCAACCTACATCCGACCCACCCCGGGCGCGTCCATTCCGCAGGCTATATAAGACGGCCCTAATCTAACGGGCGGGACTCTCGCTGGGGGAGGCTCTGCTCGACTACAGTCGCCGAGAGTAGCTCGACGGAGCCTTCCTATCTTTACCTGATCCTCCCCCTCCGTGATACTGTAAATAGCAGCAGCGCGGACACCGACTGGCGATCCTGTCAAAAGAGACAGCGCCGTCTCTCCACCATTGTTGGCCCTCGGGCAAGCGTGTGGCATTGTCGTGAAATAAACACGTCATTACCCGGACCGAAGGAACCTACTGTGTTTCTAAGTGGTACCCCTAAAAAAGGAAGCCCACAAGCTGCGTAGTACCCGTTACGAGTGAAGAAACTACGCTGATTTCTATTATTCCCTGGCGAAGAGAAAAATATCACCTGCGTTTTCCCATAGGAATAGCCAGAAACACTGAAAAAGTAGACTGGTTGCTAAATGCTTCAATTTGCAACCGGAAGTCCCGTATACACTAGCGCCAGCTGAGCCTCTAGCGTCTATTGTAATAACTTTATGGTTTTTAGACTATCGAACAAACTGGCGCACTGCTATGGGACAGGTCCGGCACATTCCCGTTCCGCGTATATGCTTGCTCATTTCTTCCGCATCATTTTCTCACCATGGGCTTAGAATAATTCTGACAATGTTATAAGCTCATTTCTCGTAGGCAATGCGTAGATTTGATCTCGCGAATGCTGCAAAATCGTGCCTACAGTTATATGCAGATTGCGAGGGTTCCAGGGCTCCCTGACAGATGGCGTCAGCGTGCGAGTGTGTTCTTTCGCCGTGAGTGATGGCGAGGGGTTGCAACACGGTCGATCACACCCAAATGCAAATAGGCGAATCCGCCTTTAATTCGCTCGGGTGGGGTGGATGTATTTTGAAAAGTTGTGGCCAGTGCGCTGCGTGCTTGGACATACATCCATTCATCGGGTTCCCTGACTCTCAAACAAACTTTTTCTTCTTTTTTTGTTTTTGTTTTAGGAATCCGATTTGGCATTAACCTGCTTCATGCCGACGTTCGAGAGACTCGAGGTGGCGCTACCGTCGGTTCTCATCGTTTCTGATGAGATGCGCATCCTGGGCGGTCGACTCTCCGTGCAGAGCACCAACATATTCGGCTACATCATGACGTTCGACTGGCAGGTGAAGCGACGGAACAAAAACGCCCAACATACGCATTCATAAGAAGTACCGCGTTGTAGTGTTCATGGACATTTTCCTCTTTAAAGGGACAATGAAGGCAATTTCGGACATCTTTTTGGCGATTGAACTGGGTTCCAGGCACGTCTCAGGCCACGTTGCCCAAATTTCAGCCAAAACCGGCGCTTGTGTGCCGCGCAAATCAATTAAACAGTCGCGGTAATAATCGTACCGGGATCGACTGGAGCGACGCCCCGAGAGTTGCGGGAGAAGCCAGGAGAAGCGGAGCTCACGTGACTGATGCGGGGGCAAGGAGCGCGACGTCACAAGAGACGCCTCAGCGATTGGTCGAAACAAGAGACGCACCCTCGGTCACGTTTTGGTTCTCGGTTTTTAGGAATACTATTGTAATTTCCGCTTGAATAACCATGAAAAGTATAAATCGGACCGGAAAGGATTACTAACCCGTAAATAAAGCAGCACAATTGTTTTTTTCTTTGCTACGCTGGACGCGAAACGGCCAACGAGCAACTATGGGTACTTCGGCATGCGGGTCGCTCGTTACCGGCTGGGCGGTCTCCCTCAGGTGACGGCCGAGGTCGCCACACACGTACTCCCGTTCCGTTTGTGTTGGGTTACTGAGCGGAAGCTCGAACTCGCTCGCGAAAGCGGCATTGCCGTCCATGTTGACAGCGTCAACGAAACTACCGCGCCACCGCGCTGCTATAACCCACCGCGGTAACCAGAATCTCGATCTCCTAAATACTACCAATACCGACTATTCACACTTGACGTCACTCCCTACGTCACCTCCGTTTTTGGAGGCCCAGAAACGAGAACGGAGATTCTTCAGTTTCGGTTTCTTTACTTCTTCCGTAGGCACAGAAATACGCATCACAAATGGCTACAAAAAATTGGACAGCTTGATATGTTCACAGGAAGCATAAAAACACCATTTTAAAAAATTAAATAAAATCGTCTTCATTGTCCCTTTAAGAGACGTAAATTACTAATTATTTATTTTAAGCGAGTAATTGTCCTTCATTCCATACACTCACTGAGAGCTTATTAAGAAATCTGATGCGTGGCTACCGCCTTGCGACTGGTCCTTGGGCGTTCATGACTGGTTCCGCACTCTGATTGGCTGCGGGGTAATAATGAGATGCCCGGCCTTTCTTGAGCGGTCACCATGGCCATCTGAACGATGAACATTAAAGGGGCCCTGCAAGGACTTTTTTACTGGTTTTTAATTTGCTCCGAACCTGAGCGCACTGAACGTAGTAAGTTAATGAAACTTTTCTTTTCTCGAATTTCGCTTTACTTTAAAAGTTATAGGAAAATTAAAATTACAAAACAAGCAAAAAATAACCTCCTTCATGACGTCCTTGGTTGCTTGAGCGGCCGCGAACTAGAGGAGGGGTAGTGAGCTCAGCGAGCGCTCACGGCTACTGCACTCCGTGTCGACGGCTCGAGAGGGCGCCACTAAAGCATGTTCTGGATAGGCTGTATGAAGCGGGAAGCCAGGGCGGCTCGCATTGCATTTTCTGCGCGATTGAACACTAATTCGGCATACCACTTCATTGGCCACAAACGACAGCAAACACGGGGTAAAGATCAGTTCAGAACGGGAGCCACTTCGCACTGCCATACCACCAAAGGGCCAAACCGCAAGCCAAAGCTGCTCGCCGAAGGCCATCGGAACGCTCGGAACCGGTCAGATCCTCGACTGCAGCGCTGCCGAGTACATCCGGGTCCTTTCTATGCTCGCCGCTCGTCGGCGTCTGATCCCACTACCCCTTTCTAGTATGCGCCGCCTTTTCCACCGCTTGGTGGCGGGTATGTCGACGGGTCATTTCTTGTTTCCGTACTTTACAAACTGCATTTGTTTCTTTTCTGGTCTGAAATACTGAACAAGAACTGCTTTTATAAATAATTGAAACGGCTCGTACCACTTATATTTTGTATTTCGACTGAAAAGAAGCTTTTAGCGGCTCTGACCAGTAGAAAGGCCGGGACCACTGATCTCTGTTGTAGTAGGCTGGAACGCGGATCGAGAGCCCGTCGGTGTCGGCACTGGCAGCCATTGCTTGACTCCATGCAATACACGCAAGTCTATGGGAGAAACGCGCATAATTAAGAATACTGGAGCATGTACGCTGTGCTCGGAGGCGAGTATTTTATGGTGTGCTGCGATCCTTATGTCGGGTGTTTGGAGATCAAATCGGTATTTGTCAAACGTTCGAACGCCGATTAAAAAAATCAAACGTACCGGAGCACCTACAGCTGAGCTGGCAAGCTTGCTCTCGTAGTGGAGTAAACAAAGGAACTTGCCGTCAATGAGACAGTCCTCGGGGAAGCCCAAACGATGATGAATAACAAAGAAGTTCCGTCTCGACAGCGGCTTTCCGGGAGAGAGCGAATTCCGCGTAGCAAAGCCTTCGAGCTTGTCGTCTGCTAAACCCAACTCAACGAAAACGCCACCGACTCCGCGCTAACTCTCGTCTCATTGAGCTGCACTATAGCGGAGTCACTCTGGACCACAAAATATTTATTTATAAGAACTGCGAGGGCTGTTAGTTTTAATGTTTGTACGCAAGCTATTTGACGGGCTTATCGAAAAGCATCCAAAATGTTTCAGTGCCGACAACAGGTTAGAAACAGAGGAAACGGCACTTTTTCTCGTTCTTCCCATAGAGTCCCATGCATTGGCTGGTGTCAATCAATGGCCGCCGGTGGCGACACTCGGCCCCAGCTGCCGAGGCCGCGGTCCGCGATCCAGCCAACTATACAATAGAGATCAGTGGCCAGGACCTAAAGCGTCACATGTCGCGCGCATTCGGCGCCGCGGGTCGCCCCCGTAGGTGGAGGAGGTTTTTGCGTTGTCCGGTTAAAATATGACGCACTGATATTTAGTTAAGGCACGACCACATTGGCGTCGCGGAGGCCTGCGGCGCGGCGGTCGGCGCTGCCGTTTGCCGACCCAAACCAGTTTTCGGCTTCACGGCGCGACGTACGGCGCCGCAGAGTCAACCGCTCCGTGCGGGGTTCAAAGCCGGGCGCCGCACGCCGCAGAAGAGAGGAGCCAATGGGAAGTGGCGTAGATAGTGACGTCGCGATGCCATGGCAACGCTCAAGCCGGTCCTCGGCTCGTCTTTCACGTTCCGAAGGACGTGTTTCGCGTCGTCTGCTCTTCCTATTTTCCCCCGATGCCTTCCCCAACGGAGCGGTTCCTTGAAACTGTGCGACTGTTTCCCTTTTTATATGACAAGACGCAGCCAGACTACCTAGATAAGGACGCTAAGAACAACCGCTGGGAAATGATAGGAGAGGAATTCGGAATTACAAGTGAGTTTCTCCGTGGCACTTGTTGCATGTCGTCTGTGTTGTGACAGATGTCGTGTTGATTTTGTGACACTTTTGAAAGTAGCCTTCATCTCTGGCGCGCCGCCGGGGCAGCAAAGCCCCGGCGGCGCGCCAGACCTGTCCTGTCCCGCGGTGTTTCGGTAGAACCAACCCGGCCGGACCCAAAACCTGCGCCTCCTTCCCTTCAGAGCGCGGCGACGTCGCAAGATCAACGAACAGGCTAGGATAATCACATTCACGCTGATCACCAGGTCATTATGGATTCCTACCATGTGTGGCAGCGAGTGCGAAACGGAAGAATGTAACGAAGAGCAGACGACGAAAGAGCGGGAAATCCGACGGGAGGCGCGATCGCGGGAACCAGTGCTGTCACGTGACGCCTGCAAAACGGAGGCCAATGTGGACTCCTCGCGTTGAGACGCCGGACGGCGGTGCCGCCCGGCGGCGCCGCCCGGCGGCGCCGTTCACGCTAGTGTGGTCGGGCCTTTACTCTCTTCGTGCCTGCTGGCTTGCCCGAACCCCAAGAAACGTGGAAACCGCAAAAAAGGTAGACGCTTAATTATGATTGCAGGGCCCCTTTAAGGCCGCGTGAGTAGTAGAAAACATGAACAAGTTTGCACAGCTGTCACTCAAACCCCAGGAGGGCGGGGCCAAACCCGATCCGACCAATCACAGCGCAGGAGGGCGGGGCCAAACCCAATCCAACCAATCACAGCGCAGTAGGGCGGGGCCCTTTCCCTCTCTCCCATCCCAGTGACCAATGCCAGGAGTGGGCATCGATGGCCCCGCCCACAGGGCATTAGCCAGTGACCAATCGGAGCTCAGCGAGGTCCCGCCCTCGAGTGACGTGCTCTGTCGAACGAAGCGCCCTCTGTCGAACGAAGCTCGGACCCTGTGACATCACGTGGTTGTTATCAGGTGATGACCGCAGCTGTCAACACTTGGTCTGTGGTTTGAGGTCCGAGGTGGTTGTTATCAGATGATGACCGCAGCTGTGAACACCTGGTCAACCACAAGCTTGCGGTTTGAGGTTTGCGGTCTGAGGTCATGGTAAGTGGCACGCGCCTGACACGCGACGGTCACGTGACTTCACACCTACACCGAGCACGTGACTCGAGGGCGGGACCTCGCTGAGCTCCAATTGGTCACTGGCTAATGATGGTCACAGGCAGTGGCCATCGATGCCCACTGCCTGGCATTGGTTACTGGGATGGGAGAGAGTGAAAGGGCCCCGCCCTACTGCGCTGTGAATGGTTGGATTGAGTTTGGCCCCGCCCTCCTGTGATGTGATTGGTCGGATCGGGTTTGGCCCCTCCCCCTTGGGAGTTTGTTTAACTGTTGGCCAAACTGGTACATGTTTCCTACAACTCGCGTGCTCCCAAATGGGCAGAGGGGACTTTGCCCTAAACGTCGACCCGGTGCCTGTCCACGTTCCCATTGCGCGCATCCAAAGCCCAGAGGCAGGTAACGAGCAAGTGCTGCTGGCAAAGCATCTCCTGGGGTCCTCACTTGTCACAGACTATACAGCGGAAACTGAGGGAGAGGAGGACACGAGAGCGTGCGTTGACGTCCTAGCTGCAAGCTCTGATTGGAAGGAATAGTGGGTAGACACCAAGGCTAGACGTCTGCGCCTTTAACCCCAGTCACCTTCCGACAAAAGCGAACAAGAGTGTCGTCTGCTCCTCACGCAGGGTGTGGTGTTGGGACGTCGAACACCGGCGTTGATCTGTACACCTGCGAATACAGTGATTCTCGCATAATGTAGAAAATCGTGGAAACCTTTTATTTTTAAAGTCAATTTCTAAGCTACTTGTTTTGTGCTATATCTATGTTCGTGATTCTATGGACCTTTCCACCGGCAGTGTTAACCGAAGCGATTTACAGCGCGCGTCTCTGGTTTTGAGAGTGTACGTCAGTGTTGCCCGACTGCGCTGAGCTGTGGAGTTTCTCGTCAGTGGGCCGTGGCTGCCTGCGTGGGCGCGATTCCGGACGCTGGTAGCGGCTGAATTGCCGCGTTTTCTTTTTTTGTTTTGTGTTCTGTGGCGAACATAATTTATAGAGGTCTTTAAGCAAGCAGTGCTCTATTTCTGTGAAAAACAAAGAAATGAAAGCTGTTTTGGTGAGTTAGTGCCAGTCTTGTACACGTTACTAAAAAAAGTAATCGATTACAATTACTATTACTCTTGGCTAAAAAGTATTCGATTAGATTATTTGATTACTCGACGGCAAAAGTAATTGGACATTACTTAAAGAAGTAATCGTTACTTTTCTGATCACTTTATTGTGTGAAGACACATCTTTAGCGCTCATAACAATGAACTACTTCCAACCTATATTTCACATTTGCACAAGTATTGAAGAAGAAAAACTAGCTCCCTCTTCGTGGTCGTTGCACCTTCACAATGCGGACACAAGCATAGAATTCGTTTGAAGACGTTTAATGATTTGGGCGTTCGCCAGTGTGTGTGTGTGGGGGGGGGGGGGGGGGGGGGGGAGCGGAGGGGGTTCTAGAACTTGTTAAGCTTGAGCAAGGGTTGTCGCTCAAAGTTTGCGTCGCTCATTTTATTATTCACATGTGGATGAGCTCGCATGTTACACAAAAGAGCAGCGGCTCCAGGATTTGAAACGGATCATGTGTAGTATCCATTAGCGGAAGAGATTGCCCCGACCACTTCTCAACTCGAAACATTGCTTGTCACAAAGACCACGTAGGGGAAATGGGGAAATATTTCAACTGCCTTTGTTATATTTTGCATCCGCTTTAGGCATTCTTCGGTTCTGGTTCTCCTACGGGTTGCGAGTAGGTATCCTAAGCAGGATTTTTAAATTTTTTTTTATTTCTGTGTGTGTGCGTGAGGGGGCTAGTTTGAACGAAGGACTCACAAAGCTACATTCTGCTTCAAACTTCGCCCTGAATGGCCTTTGTCACGCACTGTGGCTTCCCTGGGGCTTCCCACTCCCAGTCCCAGCTCGAAAAAAAAAAAACACAAAAAAACTGACATTCCACAGAAACTGTACATAGAAAGAGGTTGACCTCGTTTCCTACAGGTCCGCTGAAATCTTTCTTTTTTCCGTTCGAAAAAAAAAAAAGCAAATTTTATTTTTGTCATTTTATAAAAAAAGGCGTGTGCCGGAAGGGGGGTGGGTCCCGTGGACAAATTGTAACGGTTACAAGTAATTTTATTACTTCAAAAAGTAATCAGATTACTCTTCTGATTACTGCCTAATAAAAGTAATCAACTGATTACAAAATTACTACAAAAAGTAATCGATTACAAGCAATTTGATTACTTGTAATGCGTACGGTACAAGTCTGGACTCAGTGCGCGACAGAACAAATGCAACTGGAATGTTTGTTTCACTTTATGTTCATCGTTTTACGGCACCGTACACTCAGCCGTGTCAATCTGTATAGGTTAAAATATTTGACCACACAGGATATCCGAACAGCATAGATATTCCCCGCCCAAAACATGAAATTTAATGAGTCTGATCAATCGAACAACACATATTGTACGTACCCCACGGTGCCGCGTTATCCGAACAGGATTTGAGAAAGGTCTCAAATAACACAGCATATCCAATGTACAGTGTCGAGGATGGTCACTTCACGACAATCGGACGGAATCCGGCGTGTTTTGGGGAACATGTGGAAGAGAGCAGCTTTTTTTCACAGCTTCAAAGCAAATGAATGAACGCGTCTATTTTGTCCCCACACCCCGGACCCGACCCTGTCAGCTATTTTTCGCGAAGACCCGGAACACAGCTGGGAAGGCTTTTTGGAGATTATCTCAACGGAAATTATCCTCCAAGAACGTCGAACTGCCTGCGTCGTAGGCTGCTTGACGTTCGCTCTCTTCGTTCGTTTCCTGCGAAGGCCGAGCAGGCTACGAGCCCTGGTATTCCCTGGTTCTCACAGTGGAAGACAACATACAAAGGGTAAGCATCCTAAAGAGGCGAATAAAGTAAAAACTTCCAAGAAAAGCCGACGAACTCCGAATGCAAAATGCAGGTGGGGAGTCGCGCTGACCGGGTTTCCGCAGCTCAGGCGGGTGCCAGAAATTTCTGGCTGATAGGGGTCACTCGATTCGCAAAATAGCGGCGGCTACAGCGCTCTTTTTGCAGAGGTCTATACACCCCGATGCTATTTAGCTATAATGCTGAAAGGGAGACTGTGGACATGTCACGCTGCCCAGGGGAAGCCTATTCTTCCGCAGCCCCTGTTTCTTTAACGTCGCCGGATGGAAACTGACATGATTTGATCTGGTGCCTCGTCGCAGGTTTGGATGGCATTCCTGATGGCACTGTTCCTGTTGTCCGGTTTGTCTACCGTCGTGAACATCATCAGACCGACCCCCGCTGGCCGAACCAAGTTGTCCCTGCTGAGTCTTTGGAATGAACAGTTCTGGAAGTACCTTGAGAACATGTTCACGGAAGGTACACTGCACGTTCTCTACTTTACCGGGCCATCAGCAAACTTTACTTTTGTCGTTTCACACCAAATACGCCGCAACGTACAACGAAACGCTGTAGAGGGATTAATAACGGTTCAACCATATTGCTAATTTAGCTATTTTGTAGCTAGATATTTAACAACTTTTGGAGATAAATAGTTACAAAACATTTCTCCTAACCACAAACAGCTAAATTAGATCCTTTTTTTTTTCAAAATATGGTTTCAAATTTGTTTATTTTCGCGTAATCTAGCTCTTATTTAATTTCTTGCGGTAGCTAGCAAGGCAAGTATACCGCAAGTAAAGCATGTTCAGCATGAAACACTGAGAGTGTTTGCCGCGAAAGGCGCTGTAGTAACCAGCGATAGATGGCGCCACGTCTTTTTTTTTTTTTTTCTTTATTTGTTTTGCGGAGTTGTTTCCGCAGAGGGGGCAGAGATAAAGGCACAATGCCTAACATAGCCTCTGCCCCCCCCCCCCCCCCCCCATCGTACAGTTCAACAGGGAGCAACAAAAGTTACAATCAAACAAAAAAATAAATAAATAAAAAATAACCGCTGTAACGAGATAAAACAACGCTTTGCACAGATAACATAATTGATGATATCATTAATAAACACGAAATGAAGCGTTCACAAAGACAGGTCAAACAATTCTTTGAAGATAAAAACAAAAACATCTGCACACTCTGTAGATGGGCAAATAACACAATATTCAAAAGGTCAAACAGATACTGCAATGCAGATTTGAACTACAGAAAAAAAAGTCCACAACGTTACACCCAGAAAAAAAAAAGAAAAAGAAATATACCAAAGAAAATGCTACGTCACTTGCCACTAGAATTTTTCTGCAAAAATGCTTGAAACTACCAAACGGCTGGTCAAAGTTTATGGTGATATCCGTTCTATTAAGCATTTTAGTGATCTGAAAATGTGAGGCTTGTCGACCATAGTTTGTTCTCACGTATGGTGTTTTTCGAATTGGGTTTCGTAATAAGTATGGATTAGAACTGGTAATGGGCGTCGAGTGGAGTTTATTTCTATGTATCAATTGCAACAGTTTGAAATAATAAATTTGATTTGCCTTAAGAATATTATACTTGATAAAGAGTGGCTGCGTTCTTAAAATCCTTATGTCGTCTTTATAATTTTCAAATATCCGTAGTATCTTTTTTTGTAAAATGAATAGTTTATTGTAGTTTGTAGCTGTTGTTGTACCCAACACCATGATGCCGTAACTGATCCTAGAATAAAATAAGGAGTAATATAACGTTAGTTTAAGCCAGGCAGGAATTAGATTTTGAATTTTATAAATCATGCCTGTAACTCGGGACAAGTCGGCTTTTAGTTTGCTGACGTGCGTATTCCAAGAAAGGTCCTCAGTGAACCAAACACCTAGAAATTTTTGTTCGACCACCTGCTCAAGTACCGTGCCTTCAAATTTGATGTTTATAATGCTGTCATCTCGGTCGCCGGTTGGCTTAAAAATCAGATACTTAGTTTTATTGGTATTGAGGCTTAAGCTATTTATTTGTAACCATTTCGATAGTTTTGTAAGATATTCATTGGCTAATTTTTCTACACTCTTTTTTGTTAAACCTGGAAAAAACACATTTGTGTCATCTGCATACATTGTCATCTCGGGGCCACCTGGTATATCCGTTATATCATTTATATACACTAGAAATAGCGTCAGCCCCAAAATAGAGCCCTGAGGAACCCCATAACATATTTTCATTTTACTAGATATCATATCATTTACGCACACGTATTGGTACCGATTTGTGAGATATGTTTTAACTAATTTTAACGCCACTCCACGTACTCCGCACATTTCAAGTTATTTAAGTAAGATATCGTGTTGTACGGTGTCAAAAGCTTTCTTTAGGTCTAAAAATAAACCTAGAGTGACAAGTTTTCTCTCAATCTTCTCAACTATTTTATCTTTTATTTCAATCAGGGCTGATTCGGCAGACTTGCTTTTCTGGAATCCATGCTGGAACTTAGAAATAATTTGAAATTTTTGAAAAAAAATATTTAGCCTCTCATTGATAACTCGTTCAAATATCTTTGAAAATACAGAGAAAACAGATATCGGCCTGTAATTATTAACTTCAGTTTCTCCTCCGCCCTTATACACTGGAATTACTTTTGCAACTTTTAGCTCATCAGGGAACTCACCAGTCTCTAGCATCTTATTTATTAGATTCGATAATACTCGACTTATTATGCAAGCGGTGCATTTAATTGGTAAGGCTTTAATTCCATCCTCACCTGCAGCCACATTGTTATCTAAATTATTCATTATTTTGTAAATTTCTTCATAAGTCGTTGGAGCAAGCATAATCGAATTTTGCTGATTTTTTTATCTTGCACAGTCATCATTAGTTGTATTTTTAGCCACGCACGCGCCAATATTGATAAAATGAGAATTCATTGCGTCTGCGAGCTCTTTCCCTGCCACACTTACATTATCGATTATCAATTCCGTGACACTATAGCGTTTTTGCTTTTTGTTTGTTAGATCGTTTACTGTATTTCAAACTTTTCGATGGTCATTGTGAATATGCTGAAATTTATTTTGATAATACTCACATTTTTTTTGCTTTAGGTCAGAGTTCAACTTGTTTCTAAATTTTTTAAACTCAAACAGTAAACTTAGATCCCGAGGATGTATGAAGGCATGGTATACTTGCGGTCTTTTATTTTTATTCTTTTATATAAATCATTTGTTATCCACGGTTTTCTAATCTTTTTAGGCTTTGTTTTACTTTCACATAGAGGAAATGCTATATAATAACAGCGTTCGAATTTAGACAGGAAGTAATTATAGGATTTTGTCGGATCATGTTCATTATAAACGTCTTCCCAGTTTTTTTTTATCTATTAGGTAACCAAAATTTCTTAGCGTGTTTTCGTTTATTTTGCGGTGATAACGTTTTTCTTTATTTAGGTTACTTTTCGCGGTTGAGAGAGTTGCAATGCAAAAGATAGGTAAATGGTCGCTTATGTCGTGCAAGATAACGCCAGCTGAGATCTGGTTACATTCTATGTTTGTTAGACAAGCGTCAAGTGATGTCGCAGTGGCTGAGGTAACCCTAGTAGGCAACGTTATGGCGTCGTTACAGGCGTATTGTTGAATAAGATCTCTGAATTCTCTTGCATATCCGTCATCCAAAGCAGAGTCTATATTCATATCACCAAGAATCATAAATGGTAGGTTAGGCCCCAGAGCACAAAATAAGTTTTCAATGAATGACATAAATGCAAGCACGTTGCCGTTTGGCGGCCTATACACAGCTGCGACTACAGTATGTGGGAACTTAACAATCAAACATTCTACATCATCATTTATTTTTGTTAAATCTTCTATAATCTGATATTGTAGGTTATCTTTTACATAAATGGATATACCGCCCCCCTTTTCTTAACTCTGCACATATTTTCACATCTATAACCACGCAGAAGTGGTGGCAAATTCTCGTTTTTTAACCAAGTTTCTGTGAGTGCGATTGCATCGAATTCTATATTTAAAGAGTGTAAGAGGATTTCAAGATTGTCTACCTTATTTTTTACACTTCTTGTATTTAAATGTATTGCGGAAAACTGCCTATCGTTTCTTTTGTATTTTTTGTTAAATGACAGGCAGTCGTAATAATTACAGTCGGTGAGAGCTTCTTCGGTCAGCGGTGCCGCGGTTTGAGCACGAGCGCGGAGCGCGCAACATAAAAGATCATTCGTTCGAATTTCCATGCTGGCTGGTGCGTATTGCTTCCTACAAAACACTGCAGGATAACCAAATTCGAGGGGTCATATATGAAGTAGACGAGGGTGAGGACAACACCTCTCTCCGGGACAGGCTCCAATGTGACACCCACGACATCGTCACGGCCCGACTTCTGGGAAGGAAAGGACGCACTGCGATGATAACGTTCGAGGGTAATCGATTGCCAAGGTTCGTTAGATACGCGCTTTGCATCACCCCAGTGTACCCATATAGAGCCAAGGCGGTGACATGCACAAACAGCCACGGCGCGGGTCACAAGCAAGACATGTGCCACAAAGAGACGGTCTGCTCTCTGTGCGGCAAACACCACGAGGAAGCGCAATATGACCAAGGTAACACCAACCCGTGCCCAAATTCGACCCCGTACTGCCAGATCTGTAAAAAAAAAAAAAAAAAATGGACACTTGGCGACAAGCAATGTCTGCCCGAAGGAGACAGAGATCGGGAAGCTACTGAGGGAAAGGGCAAGGAAGCACGCGAAACGCAATCAAGAGTCCAGGAGGAAGAAGGGGGCACCACCACCACCGCCGCCGCCGCCACCTCCATTTAATCCGATCCAACACCCACCGATGCACGAAAGGACTTACGCTGATTTAGTCCGAGGTACCCCCACTTTTGAGAGAGACAGCTACGAAGTCCGGTTTACAAGGCTGGAAAAACAACTCTCAGCGCTAAGCCAACAGCTCACTGTTATCGCTTTCAAACTGTGTCGATAAAAATATGGATTAGCATTGTTCAATGGAACTGCAGAGGACTGGGGCTACGGGCCGCAGGACTCAACGCAAGACACTTGAACAGACCATCAAAACGTCCAGATGCAATTCTATTACAAGAAGTAAGGACAACCTCCATCAACCTAACAAGTTACACTTCATACTCCAGCCCGTCGATCCCATCAGGCCGCAAGCCCAACCAAGACGTGCCCAAGGGGCAAGCCATGGTGTATTTGCGATCGGACTGGCCACAACATCAAATTGACTTGATGCGATGGTGCACAGACAGACAAGAAGTCGTCGCAGTCCGTGCAACGCATCAAGGAACACCCGTAATCATCGCATCTGTATACTACAGGCCAGGGGTTAGCAGCAAATCGCCAAGAGACAACGGGTGGATAGAACAACTACACATCCTTTACCCAAAAGAACGAAAGATTATAGGAGGAGACTTCAACTTGCCACATACCAGCTTGGGCTACAA